CCCCGGCAGAGCGAGGCACCCGCTCCGCTCCCCGCAGCCCGCTCGGAGGGGCCAGCCCGGTCACATCCCCCCTTCTTGTGCACTTACCTGGAATGACGATGTCCCCCAGACCCAGCATGGCGAAGTTGTCGGCCTCCAGCCCCTTCTCCAGCAGGTCCTGAGGGAAAACCACTACGAGGAGCAGAGAGGGGCACGGTGAGGGGGCGGGGGGCTGTGCCGAGCAGCCCTCAGCATCACTGTGTGCCTGGCAAAAAGGGACCGGAGCGGGGCAAGACCCCCGTCCCTGCCCTCGGCCCCCTCCTCCCCGGCAGCCCAGCCCCTTCTCCTTCCTGGGAGAACTCAGGGCAGCAGGATGGGAAACGGAGTTCCCAGGACCCAAGCCACTGCACGTTCCGCAACAGCACAAATTCACCTTTCCTGCTGTTTTTTGGGGTTTTTTTGTTCTGTTTTTTAAAATGAGGTGAAATTGCCCGGGGGTGCGGATGAACCCAGCCAGCTCAGGGCATGGGGGTGTGGGCGCCCGGCTCCCCGCTGCGCCCAGTCGGCTACTGGTTTGCCTCCGAGCAGGCTGGGGGCTTGGGCAGGGGCACCCCCGGAGCAGGGTGCACAGCTCTGCTTTGGGATGGAGGTTCCCTTCCCTCCTCTGCCTCAGCTGTCCTCAAACCAGGCAGGCCAGGCCATGCTCCGCGCAGCTCGGAGGGGACAGGAGACCCAAGCTGCCCGCGGACAGCGGACAGGGAAGTGCCTGGAGCGTGGCCGGAGCGCAACGCCACGGCACAGACCCCGACAGCCCCCGGGGCAGGGAGACTGCTGCAAACCAGGATGCTTCACCCCAGCGGGGAGGCTGGGATGTGCTGGAACCAGCCCTGGCTGCTCTCGCAGCTGGATCTGGCTCCATTCTCCCCCACCCACGGGCGCTGGGACACAATGACCAAGTATCTCAGCACCAGGTGCGCGGTCCCACCCTCCCCTGCCTGCCAGCGCACGGGAAGAGCTTGTCACCGGGGCGTAAAGCGATACCAGATGCTGCCTGCCTGCCGGTACCGCACCAGAGCTCCCACCCGGCTGCAGGGAGGTGGCTGGAACCAGGGCCGGCGTGTACGAACACAGACCCGCTCCCTCCGCCCAGGCACGTGCGCACGCACACCCGGAGCGTGCCCAGATGAACCCGTCCCTCCAGCTGTGCCCAGGCGTGGGAACATCTGCACGCTTCCCGCGCCGCCGGCGAAACAGCTCCGTCGCCAGCTGACGCTCACCTGAACATTTCGGTTACTTCTCCCTTTGCCAAGGCCACCAGGAGCGGGAATCCGATGCAGGCGGGGACCAGGTACAGAAGAGCAGGCTGTCGGGATGAAAACCAACGGTTAAACCCAGCGACAGCTCACCCCTCGGGAGGAGCGGGAGGAGAGCCGGCCCCTCGGCTCCCACGGCATCCGTCACAGCGCAGCACAGAGGGTTAATGCCCCACAAAGCGGCTCTGAGAGCCACGTTAGCGCAGCACAGAGGGTTAATGCCCCACAAAGCAGC